TAGTATTAGTAGTAGTAGTAGCCTTGGTCGTAGTCGTAAATGTAACCGTGATCGTAGTTTTAGTCGTAGTCGTAGTAGTAGTAGTAGTCGTAGTAGTAGTAGTAGTAGTAGTAGTAGTAGTAGGAGTAGTAGTAGTAGTAGTAGTAGTAGTAGTAGTAGTAGTAGTAGTAGTAGTAGTACGACGTAGTACGACGTAGTACGACGTAGTACGTAGTACGTAGTACGTAGTACGTAGTAAGTGGTTCAAGCAGATCGTCGTCCTTCCACTGCTCCTTCACCTCTTCTACATCCTGGTCTTCATCGTCTTGCTCTTCGATTTGGCCTGCTCAGTCGTCGTACTTGCCGAACAATAATGTATTTTATGTAACATGGAACACACAATGTCTGTTTGCTGCTGTGGGAGGTGGTGGGAGAGGGTTTTCGTCGGTTCTCGCAGCTTATGAATTTCGCTAGGCGTCACAGTATTGCACGTGCACAGGAGGCACACGGGCATGAGGGTGACGCACACGAGGTCAAGCGTCAGCTTCGCGTGCGCAGCGTGGGGCTTTCATGCATGCGGAAGCGAACTCTGGTGGCGTCCTCACGATTATTCGTGTGAAGTTTGTGTGTTTCTCTCTCTCTCTCTATCTCTCTCTCCCGCCCCGTCTCCCACCAATGTGTTCTTGGCCGGGCCTTTTTTACTCGCTGCATGGGCCCTATCGGCACGATGAGCATTGCCAACTGCCGCGTGCCTAGCACCAGTGATGGCGCCCCGTTGTATCGGACGGTGCTGACTGCTATTGTTGCCCCGCGCGCGCCTGCCACCACTTCGCCCAATCTGATTGGAGAGCGCTGGCATTTCGCGTTGGAGGAGGAAGGAAGGGCGCGGGATGTTGGACACACGTGGTAGAGTGGCGACCGTTTGCACAGTCATTTTTTTTTACAGTCAGGTTTGTGGTGACTGGATTGAGCTCGCACAGGTGGAGCCCACCAGACATGGATGGAACAAATCCCGGGAAATCCGTCCATCCAGGTAGGTCACGTGCACCCGGACATCTCCAGAATGTTCTCGCAAGACGTCGCAATGCAGGCTAAAGTTTTGGGCCAGCTTCGTGGCAGCTCACCTGAAACCATCGGCCTTTCGTTACATGTCAGAGTTATGTTCCTCAGGGAGATCTCCTACCAGCAGCGCGTTCATAGCGCGTTCTCCAGAGTATCAGCGTCTGGTGCGTGAGCACGCCATGGCCATCCCTGATGGGGTAGAGTTCACATCGCTGACATGCCGTCGCCAAGGGTGTCTTTCATGAGCAGGTGCAGCCAACGCGCGCTCTCATCAAGCAGCCCTCTGCGCGTACGTACACAGAGAAACATAATAAAACCGTGTGTGCTGTTCGTGAGGTCCGCCATCGTAAATTGCACACGTGTATCGCGGCGGTACGCAAGCACTGTACTCTCATTCAGTTTTTTGATATCGAGGCTGAGGTGTGCACAAATCGATCGGCCTCTCGCGAGTGTGCGTAGTTCCCAAGACTGAGTAGTTCAGGGGGAGCAGGCGGGTTTGGAAGCCCACGCCGCGCAGGACCTAGCAGAAGGAAGCTTGGATCCAAGCGGGGTGTTTGGTCTCAATTTCGCTGTCGCGTTTTGGATGAGGACGCTTTCCCCTGCAGGTCTTTTTTGGGGGGGGGTCTGGGCGTGTGTTACCTGGACAGTGGTCCGAGGTTTTCGAACGAGTGTCTGTTGATCGTACCCCTGGAAGGAAGTTCTGGGCATCAGTCCTCGGGCCCAGGATCCTGCTGCATCCCGTACTTGGGTTCAGTCCAAGGGGAGTCCTACAACATGCTACTATGTTGTCGCAACGCGGCGCCGGGCCCCGACGGTGCACCCGATATGTATGAGGCACCGAAACTGAACATTCCGTCCAGCATGCAGGAGGCGTTGCTAGTCTTTCTGCCGAAGGGCACCCGTGCTCCTGATACGGCCCTTGCTGGCTGTCGCTCTGCTGCCTGTGCTCGCCCGCCCGCCCCCTCCGGCACTGAGTGCAAAACCTTGCCGCTGGCATTTACGATTCCGCTCAATGAATTTGCGAATAGCGCCGAAGC